AGCGAAACCTGGGAGCTTCCAGGAAGTGCTAGTGGAACAGACAATCTGCCCGCAAAAATGCCGAGACTGACTTATCGTCTGCGGTCGTTCGGGCTGGGTCAGCAAATAAGGTCTGACCCGCTACGACGGGGCCTAACCTGAAGAGACCCTGCTCAATATATTGGGTGTCTCTTAGGTAGTAGTTGATGAAGACATTCTGCATTCTCCAGAAGCCTGCCCTCAGAATGTGTTTGAGAGGGGCACCTGACGCTAGCGCTAGTGAGTTAGCAATCGCACGGAACTCATGTTCTCGTACTTGGTGTCTCTGCAAGGTCTGTGTTGAGGAGGATAGTGTATTATAGACCTCCAGTACAGTCGCAGTAATCCACCTGGAGACGGAAGTTGGGGAAGCCTGCTTATCCTGTTTGCCAGGGCAGTAACAATATTTGCCAGCTGGGGGATGACGATCGGTTGAGGATCATGTCCTGGGATTTGGTTCTTGACGAGACACCTGATTCGTGTGTTTAGTACAACTTGATCGTCCATAAAAGCGGCACAACCGTCCGCGAAGGACAGTGCGCGCCTAGCTCTGACCGGCGCCTACCTGAGGCGAGGGCCAGTAGGAAGACAATTTTCCACGTCAAAAATTTGAGTGGTGCTGATTGGAGAAGCTCAAAGGGCGGTCTGCTTAGAGCAGACAACACAGCCGACGAGTCCCAGTTGGGCGGCTCCCTTGTATGGGGTCTTGGCGTCTGGAAAGCAGTAAATAGTCTCCTTATAATAGGACAATCGGCTAGTCTTGTTCCCGTACATTCTGAGTGTCGGGGGACAAGACCGACCTGTAGCCAACGCTCGCTGCGTAGGACAAACCCACTTCGTCAAATAGGTGGAAGAAGGAGCCTGCTACCTGGCCAACAGAGGGATGGTATGGATCAATCTCCCTTCCGCTACACCAATCAGTGTATGCTTGCAGCCTAGAAATGTAGGCCGCGTAGGTGGAATCCCTGTTTGCCCATGGCCAGGACGTTGGCAGCCCGCTCAGATAAGGCTTTCGTATGTGCGGG